TCACTCTCCTCCAAGCTTCCCGATGGACAATCTATGGTCCAACTTTGACTACCTCTTCTCTCGGATACCTAATCGTAGGGAGTGTGTGGAGCTTCTAAGATGCTATCCCGGGATCATCTGGTATCTGTGGAAGGCACGCAATGATAAAGTTTTTAACAACTATGATCGCTCGCCACATGATATCCTGGACCTAACCAGGAAAAAGGCCGCAGTGTGGTTTCTCGCTAATGCGGCATCAGGTGAGGAGGAATGGGAGGCCCAGCAGCCCCCAACCACAGCACTTACGCTGGCCACTTTTACCTGCTTCATCGATGGCTCATGGAAAGTAGACGAACCCACGAGTGGGATAGGATGGACTTTACAACTACAAGATGGTGAGGTAGACCTTGTAGGCTTACGTGGAATGCGGCGGGGACTGTCCCCACTTCACATGGAGTTGCACGGGCTTTTATGGGTCATGAGGAGTTTACGGAAGAAAAGGCGACACTGCACGATGTTCGCCACAGATTCACGGGAACTCACATCTATGGTGCGAGAGCCGGATAATTGGCCGCGATTTCGAACAGAACTAGAAGAGTTTAAAGCTCTACAAGCATGTTTCCCTAACTTTACTCTTGAGTACTCCCTAGGGAAAAGAACGAGAAGGCGGATCGAACCGCTCGGACACGAAACCTTGTTTTCTCTTATGTTAGCACTTTGATTCCTCATTGGTTTTCAGATACGTCTGTATTTGGCTAATTAGGGTCTAAAGTGCGTTAGTGATAAAAAAAAATTCAATATAAATCTGAAAACAATTTTTATGAGGTTTTCTGTTTGAAAAATTTGAAATAAATAGCAAAGTGAAGCAAATAAATCTTTCTTTTAATTTTTTTATAGCTTACTAATGCAAAAGCAACGAAGAAATGACAAAAAAACTTGAAATAAAATGATTTTTATTTCGGTTTTCGATTTTATGAAAATTAAACAACAAAAACGGAAAAAAAAAAGATAAAGGTTGGATGAATACAACCTGGAGATAGGAACTTTTAGCTCTTATACTAGATGATATAAGATTGGAATCCACCAAACTTATGTTCACGAGATAATCAAGACTTTACAAACTTTCTTGCGGAAATGGGCGTTATGTTGAGATGGAAGGTGGTAATTTGATTGACTCTCTCAATCGATGGGGTGATTGACTCTCTCAATCTGTGAATGATCAAGTTATTTGAATCACACAAACAACTATATTCGTGGTTTCTAAAGAATAGAAGTAAAACTCATACTTGTATTCAAAAGAAAGAACAATTCTTCAAAGAAACACTCTTTGAAAGAAAACGAAAATACTTTGATTAGTTTGATTGAAAGGTGCCTTTACAATGAAAACAAAACTGAGCTTTTATAGGCTCTAATACAACGGTCTAATAGCCTAAAAGAAGAAACCAAATCGCGGAATTAAAAGAAAAACTAGCCGTTGGGATTTTAATGTGAAATCTGCCCACTAAGGTAAGTTGTGATGATGCTTGAGTTTTGAGAGGTTAGGCGTGAATATATGATGTCTTGGAACGTCCAAATTCAGTAAATGAACCTCCAAAACGCAGCAGCATAGAGGAATTAGGCGTTGGTGATTTATGGCACCAAGTGTGAACGTGTCCATATATGGCAAGTATACAAGCAAGAGAATCCGCATGATCCTGTGGTTTTTGGTGCACGGGAAGTAACTTATAACCTTCCTTAGATGTCTAATAATCTCTCATGGTCGCCACATTCTGGTTTGCAAGCGATTGAACCAGTTAATCTTCATACTTTCCATAATCGGCTCCGGTTGGCTCAATTGAAGATACAATTGGATCCGCCTGATCCAATGCGTGTTGGAGCATCCTAGAATGTTATGGTAAGCTTCTAGATATATCTCAGAGTCTTCTGGGTGCCACTGCTATGTTTGAAGCCTCATAAACCTGTAAGGTTGCAAATAAGACAAGTCGAGGATCATTTGGTTTAGAAATTGAATAACTTCTAAACCAAAATTGATATTGAATAACTTCGGTTTAGAAATTGAATAACTTATAAACTAAAATTCTAACTCAATTTTTTTGTTTTATTATTTACAAAATGGATATAATCACATCAATGACTACTTAACCCACGAAAAAATCAATTATTTAACATTAGACCAATTAAATAAAAAAACATGTTTATCATTGTACAATAGTACGTCTTATAAGACAGAGGGAGACGAAAATTTTATGAAAAATAATAGACTTATTATTACTTGATGAAAATGTTAGCATATTTTGTTTTATATCAATAAGAGTTTTAATGTATTACTAATTACTTGATTAATATAAACTACAATTTGATTTTATTTGAACGCAGAAAATACTATTCAAGATTTTGTGCATCATTTACTTCTTGCAAAATTTGGGAATCAACTATGTGAATGAAATTTTATTAAAATTGTAATTTTAGTTTCCAACTAAAAATATGAGATTTAATTCGTCAAAAATTTGGAAAAATAGATATGACTATACATATAAGAATAAAGGACTCACATATATGCAGGTTTTGGATAGAATATTTTATAACCCATGACAAAATATTTTATAACCCATGAAAAATTATATTAAAAAAGTAACAAAATAAATAAATCATCATGAAAATAAGCAAAATAAAAACTGAAAATGTTGATATAAAATAATTTAAGAGTTACCTTTTTTTTATTTTGGTTGTTTTTCTTATTTGATTTCCAAGTAATTCCTAATTTTTATCACGTAAGAAGTAATTTAGTTTTTACTACTTAACTACTATTTTTTAAAAATAAATTAATAACTCATTTTCCTTTTTGAATTTTTAAGTTTTATAGATATTTTGTAATCTTTG